GTTGTACTTTGGTTTATTGATCAATTACTATGAGAGGAAGCTAAGACTCAGATTTGGGAAGGGACTTGCTTAAGGTAGTAGTAGGGGCAGAGGAAATTGGAGGTAGAGATGACCTGAAATGAGACAGTGGAGACATGGTGAAGGGTTCTTCACCTGATCAAGTTGGCTCTGGATGCGATCATGAACTTTCAGAAGTAAGGCCATGGCTCCCAAGCCCACTTTATAAGAAACTCTTGGTTCTTGCCATTATTTGCTTCTAAAAATCTCCAGGCCTCCTTGGTATGTCAATTCAACATTGGAGTTATTTTATCATTAGTTTTCAGACATCAAAACTTCTGCCAGTAGTGTTGATCTCCAGTGTTTACATGACTCTGTTTTGTCTTGTCGGACAGACTGTGGTCCCCTCAGAGGCTGGAGCTGTGTCTTATTCTTATCATGTACCTCACTCATGCCTTAGAGTGGTTGAAAGAGACAATTGAGTTAATTTCAATTTGAGATGAGAAAGAACTCTAGTATTGCCTCTCACAAGGCCACATTTAAAGAAAAAAAAGCAGACCACTGGGTGGTTTTAACAGATAATTAATGTCTTCTATATTCCAGAACACTCTGATTTCCAGGAATAAAACAGGCAACTGCATCTGTTAAGTGTCAGTAGATATTTTAGATAGCTGAAAGGCAAAAGTATACCGAAATGTAGCAGAATACTCCCCACATTCATCCTCACCCCATAGCTCTTTTCTTGTTTCAGGAATTCTTCATCATCGTCAGGAGGGTCTGCAGGGAATTTATCCAGAGTTCCAACAGCAGCCCTTGGGGACCAGCCTGTTGTGTCCCCTGCTGAGTGAGGTTTCTGTGTGAAAGGCAGTACTTTTGGTAATTTCAGAGAAATTAAAAGGCTATTTGGCTGTAGGCAAGTGTATTCACTTTAAATCTGTGTTGTCTTTGTTCCAGAAGGAAATGGTTTTACTCATCAGCTGCCTTATGGCAGTTGCCCTTTGTTTCCAAGTAAGGAAGATTACCAAAAATGTTTATTTTTAAGATTATTCAAATATTTATATTTTCTCTAGTTTCTTTTCTGTAGTATTTTGGCTCATTCTTTTTTCTGATAAACAACTGCTGTTCAAACTTCTTTGTTCCAATAGATTGTAAATGTTAACTTTTGAACAGATCTGTTTTTTCAAAGGATGATTGGCAAGTGAGATGTTTTACAGATCAATACATGCCACAATGGAAAAAATTGGACTTCTATATTTGGCAATTTCTTCTCTGATCCTAGAAACCACAACTTAAATTTTAAAAAATTATTATTTTTGTGTGTGTGTATGACTAGTACAGGGATCAAATCCTGGACTTTGGTGTTATCAGCACCACACTTTAAACAACCAAGCAAACTGGCTACCCGAAATTTTAAAATTTATATCCTGAAGACTTGAGAGGGAAAAGAGAACTGCCTTGTGAGTGCCTCCCACGTTTAGCCAGTCCCTTTGAAAGGAAGCTGGCAAAGGGCAGCCTTCCATGCTTTCTCATTTCCTATTCCTCCAAGCTGCTGGTGTGATCAAAGAAAGGGTCATACCAATCCTCTGACCTTCTCAAACCTCTGACTCAGCCCCTTTTCCACCTCTCTCCAGACCCTTCACTCTACTCAGCCCCACTCACAACCTCATTTCCCTCTCTCCTACCTTTCTCTCCCCCTGCCACACTGAGATACTTGGGTGCAGTCTTGTCCCCCACCCTCAGCACTGCAGTTAGAGCCCTTGACCCCTTTGTTGTACTCTCTGTATTGTTTTCTTAGGGGTTCTGGTCCCTGGTCAGTTGCTCCTTTGCTTGCAATAACTGACCTAGAATAAAGGAGACGGAGCAAGTTTGGGAAACATAAGTTTGGCTTTGAATCTATTAAATTTGAGGGCTGTAGGATTATTAGGTAGATATGTCTAGTTGGTAATTGGACATATAGGAGAGACTGAAGATCGGTGACAGCAAGAGACACAGGCTGATGATAATGAGATCCCATCAGTGATGAAATGGGACAGAATCTAGTGTACTAGGAAAGATGCATTTATAATTTGGAGAGGAGAATGGACTTTTCCTTAGGACTGTAGTGCAAAGGAAGGGTGCTCTTAATAGATCTACCTGGTGCCAAAAAGAAAGGCAGAAAAGGGGTTCTTATGTGTTAGCTGAAGGGGACGAGTATATTGTCCAAGAAGTGAGGAGGGCATTGGGTGTGAAGCAGCAAGGCTCTGTGAGGTCTGGAGTGAGAAGACTAGGGAAGAAGAGGGCTCGGTGAGAAAGGGATTGCTGAGCAGAACAAAGGGCCCGCCCTGAGACTGGGGTCATGATGTGTTAGAGCACCTTCTCTCCAGGATTCTATTTTCTCCAGCAGTGCTGAGCAGCGAGGACAGAGTAAGGGGCCATCAGGATGCTGGGGCTGCCCTCTCAGGGTGTGAACCAGTTGAAGGTACCTATATGACTGTGTCAGTAATGTCTTCTTTGGGACACAGGCTGTGGGGGATGTGAAACCAGGTGGCCACAGCTAGGCTAGAGAGAGGGGGGGAAGTAGCTTAATTAGCCACTGCATCCCAGCTATGAGCACAGTCCCTGGCTCATAAATGGTGTGTCATAAATGGCTGACTTGGCATGTTGGAGACAAAGAACTGGTTTTGGAGGAAACAGAGAGGGGTGGTCAGAGGTAGTGGTGGGATTTTTGATAGAGTAGTATTTTTGCATTTGTTTTAGTTATGGAGCATTTTTTTTAGTATGTAGGAATGTTAAATACTGAATATTGAAGCCAGCAGGAAGATGATGCAAGAAAAAGTGAGCCAAGGACCAAAGCCTTTGCAAAGTCTGGTGTGTGTCATTGCTGTTGATGGAATGAGAAATAGCACTACTTATGAGTAGAAGTTGTGAGCTTCAGAGTAGAGGGGATTTTGCATGAGGAAGGGATGTCTGGAAAGGACCTAATGATTCTTAAAGACTGCTTTCCCTACTGCCTAGGCCCTGAGGATCAGGTGTTGTAGGAACTGAATGATAGGCAGTGGAAGAGGTGCCTTCTGAGGAAAGCCAGGTTGGGGGAGACGGTAGGGAAGACATTTGTGAACAGGCTGAGAGTGTGGGAGGCTGCTCAGAATAGTGGGGTTCCCAAAATGGGGGACAAAACAGAGGGCTGCAGCAGTGTTCTTGATAGAGCATGGAAGGATTTGTATCAGAATCCCTGAGGTCAGCCGTAGGCTGGTGATTATGTGCAGCGCGACAATAGGGTAGCTACTCTGGAATAACTTCTGATGCCAATGTGGTCTGCATTTATCAGAGGGGATCTGGATGTGTTGCATTAATTATCCTGTTTGCTCCTTATAACATGTTGTTGTTATTTTTATTTTACAAAAACTGGAAATTGGAAAAGTTACTAGTTTACCTAAGGGTCACACAGTCTCAGGGTTGCAAGTCCAGTTCTTGCTGACAGTGCTGATTTCTTTTGTGCACGAGCCCTTCATGGATGGTCCTGTTCAGAGATAGCATGGGTATAGTCAATGCATTGTCTTGATGTTTTTTTGCTGGAAAACCGGCTCATTCCCAGTCCAAACTTGCTTGGTTGTAGCTCTCTAGCACCGCCTGGTGGTAGTAATGGTATTGTGGTGTGGTAAGGTGGGAATGCATACTTCCCTAGCCAAAGTACTCACTAAGTCATTGATGTGCTGCAGCAAGAACATTTCCTTTGTAGTGAACATGGCTCTTACCACATACAGCCTTTAACAGCTGTTTATGTACCTGTCTTAACTACAAAGGAAGAGTTTAATATTCACATACCTCCACAGTGTTTAGCTCAGGGACTTTCAAATAGAGTGTGAAAGGAGAAACCCAAAGGGAAATCAGGCTCCTTGGGTTGAGCTCTCTTTTACATCCCTGGGTAACAACACCTTCTGTCTTAATCAGTGCCCAAAGGCCATCCTTTCCTTTATAGTCTGGGATGTTTATCTTTCCCTTTTTCCTTTTATCTTTATTATGTACCATTTCATTTTTCCATTAATGTGTAAACATATTTGACTATCTCCAATTAAAAAAGAAAAGCTTCGGAACTCCCCCCTTCCTCCCACCTTTCTCCCATTCTTTCTAGTTAAGTTTCTTAAGGAAAGGTTTTTTTAACCTCTTTCCTCCTCTTTTTCAAACCCACTGGTCCATGGCTCTGCCAATTCTAGCCCTCCACCATAGCTGCCCTTGTGACCACTGAGTAGTACAGGGGTACCATACTGATCAAGACCCCACGGCAGGACAAAGAGTGATGTGAAATGCAAGCCCTCATTGGAAATCTTGAAGGTGATAGCCATTCTGAATTTCAGCTTTTTCTTTGCGGTTTGAGCTGCTTTTCTCATGAGCTCTATGTAGCAATAAGGCTGTATTTATTTATTGATGCTGGTTGTTTCTACTAAGCCACATTGGTTAGGCCAGGTATTGATAGATAATATTGGTGTTCTAGGACGTCTTATTGGTCACCTCTCTTCTCTTCTGGATTCTGAATCACTTGAGAAATAGATCCACAGGTTAGGTGGGGATCCAAACATGAATTTTCTTAATGGTGGAAGCTGAACTAGAGAATTGTGATTTGGATATTCTATGAGAAATTTGTGCTTTGGAATCTGCTTGTTGGGTAACAGAGCAGACCTACATGCACTGGCCACGTGGAGGCTCTCAGAGCTTGGCTTTTATCACTAGAGAAGGCATTGGTGATTAGTTATTGTATGTAACTTTTGTGTCTCACCTACTTGGTTCTCTGTCAATCCTCAGCAGGATTTCTGAATCCTAGATGGCAGTTCTTATGGTATAGTGGTGGTACTGTTCTTGCCATAAAATAGAAGGTGGTTTACTGGGTTGAATTTTTATCCAATTAAAAATTCTTGGGACTGTTTCTGACAATTTGTATTATTTTATAGCTAGATTATTTGTACGTATGAAAGGCAGTGTCCTGTCTTTATCACAGATCGGTCTGTTTATTTTTGTCCATTTTAAAGGTTGAATATAAGCTGGGATTTCAAATAGACAATTTTGTGGCTATGGACCTGCCCCAAGTCAACATTTCTGTTCAGGGGGAAGTTCCACGCACTTTATCAGGTGAGTAAGAATCCTCAAAGACAGTTAACACACTGTTTTCAACTGTGTTCCCCCTACCAATGTGTAGTGTGTCTTATTTGATAGGCATAAGATGTATAAGTATTTTGAAAAGAAATTTATGTAAATATTGATTATTTGCACTGTGTTCTTAAACCATTCCACTTTTTCCATCCTTCTAGAGCTGTCTATGCTCAGCTCTTCCTAATGTGAGTACTTCAAAAAGTTTGTGGAAAAGTAGAATTGAAAGATAGTATGACTTTTTCCATGAACTTTTTGAAGTACCCTCATATTTCCTTTTCTGCATTGCTGGCACTGGCCTCTCTACATGAGTCCCTGTGTCTGATCTTGTTCCTCTGATTAATTCTCATATCCCTCACTGTGGCCTGGATGATCATTGCACACTGACATCTGATCATGTCACATCAAGTCCATCAGTGCCCCCCACTCCCATCAGCTGAATACATTCCAGACTCCCCATCCTGTGTACTGGATCCTTTACCATCTGCTCCTACCTGTCTGTCTAGCCTTGTTGCTGCACTTGCCCTAGCATTCCAGCAATTCCAGACTACATGCAGTTCTGATATCCAAGCCTTCGCATGTACTGGTCTCTGTTTTTGGAACCATCTTTTCCTCTTATCTGCTTGTGAACTCCTATTTATCCTACTTATCCTGTAAGACTCAAAATCTGCACTGTCCTTTTCCTGCCTCCTTCTCTCCCTCCAATTGTAAACTCTTTCTTCTATTCTTCTTGCCCCATAGAACCTTGTTTTTAACTGGTTTTGAATTGATTACACTATCTGGTAATTCCCTTGGTGCCTCGCATAGCATCTAGCACAGGATAGGCACTCAATACATGTCTGAGTAAATGAATTAATTGTCTTATTTACTCTAACTTAACTACTTTGAGCTAACTTTTTAGAAAGGCTCTTGAAGATATGAGGTTTTAAGAAAATGGAAATTTTTAAAAATTGGAAGTATAAGCCACAGTGTATTGTGGAACTTTTTCCGGCAGTCTTATTCACTGTTATTAGTGACATGCATTAATCTAAGCTTTAAAAAGCACAGGAAGGTTGGTTAATTTTTATGGGTCAGTAAAGAAATTGAGAAATGCCCATATCTCTGTTACATTCATACAGATGGTAGAATGATATATTCTAAATTTGTAGAAAAATAATTTTAAACTATTGAAAGATTGGGTAAAGAAATGATATGCACTAAAGTCTGTTATCCTACTGCTACAATTATTGACTAAAGCCAATTTCTATTTAGAAAGACATTGTGGTTTTTAATTCACAGTTAAGAATTTATCAGATTTGTTTAGAGATTTATATTTAATCTTTTCATTAAGAGTAATATATTTTAGTAGTGAGTTTCATTTTTATCACATTATTTTTGCTGTTACAGTTTCTGATGTGTCTGGTAGGGTCAGTAGGGTTTACCTTAAGGTTCTATAGCTTTAGTGTATTGGAGTAATGGGACTTATGAGATAAAGTGATATATTAAAAGTCATCTTCAAAAGTTGAAAATTATCTCTTCATTTATGTCCTGGTTTGTTCTTTAATGCTAACTTTTATATCTGCAATGAATGAAATAATGCCTGAAGCTGTGGTAATCTGAAGATAAGTTCTCTGAATGCTTCTGTATAGTAAATTTATTTAAGTGTATTATTTTTGGTTTTATCACTAAAAAAGTGAATCAAATAATTCTAAAATGTTTAATAGAACCACTTTGAGGCATTAATGTTGATTTTTAGAAAATTAAAATATTTTTTCTTATTTTTTTAAAACAGTGTTTCGGGTCGAGCTTTCCTGTACTGGCAAAGTAGATTCTGAAGTTATGATAATAATGCAGCTCAATTTGACAGTAAATTCTTCAAAAAATTTTACAGTCTTAAATTTTAAACGAAGGAAAATGTGCTACAAAAGTAAGGAATTTATTTACCAAAATGTGTTTTACATAGATGTGAAGAGGTCAAAAATAGATTTTCTTGTCTTTTTACGGATTATAGTTGGAAATGAGAAAAGAAAGAGCACTAACATGAAATTCCAAGATAATCACCGGAGAGTTTGTGGCCAGGAATTTCACTCAGGCCCCATTTAGTCCTTGCTTTCTCAAAAATCCTTTGTCAGAATTGCTAGGATGTTTTCCATTAGGAGTATGAAAGTGGCTGAATTGGTAAAGAAATAAGATAAATCTTATAGAGGACCTTGAGTAACTGAGTGTTAACTGTGTTTCCTTTATAAAGTTACTTTAAGGCAGAAGCATTACTCTGGGGTCAGGTAGGCCTGGATTAGAATGACAGCTCTGCTCTTTTCAGGATATTGGGACAAGTTACTTAGGCCATCTAAGACACAGTTTTTTTGTCTGTAAAATGTGCATAATACATGTTTCCGAGGTTTTTGTTTTGTTTTGTTTTTAAAGATTAATTAGATTTAGCCTAAAACTGTGGATACCATATGTGGGTACTTAATAACTGTTAGTAGTCTTTGGTTTTGAATTATATTATCTGTTACTCAAGAGATCACAGTGGATATTGAAAGAGCTCCTGCATAATAGGTCATAGACCAAAGAATTTTTGAGTTCTCCTTAAAGGTTATCTAGTCCAACCCATTCAGTTTAAGTTCCACAGAAGTAAAGTGACCTGAATTCACAAGGTCACATAGGTAGAACTAATTAGTAGCTAAGGTAGGAAAAAAAGTCCTAAACTGAGTGCTTGCTATGTTCTAAGTGCTTCACATGCATTAAAACCATTTAATACTTACAACAACCTAGGCAGTAGGTTCTTCATTATCTACATTTTCAGAAGAGGAAGCTGAAGTTCAGAGAATCCAACCTTGCCAAGGTCAGATAACTAAGTGATGCTGCTGGGATGCAATCCTGTGCTCTTAGCCTCTTTGCTAAACTGTCTCTTAACAAACTTTCTAATTGAATTAGTGCTGAATGTTATGAAGATACCTGAGGCCAGGAAGTGAGTTATAATGGCTAATGTCCAGATACATGCCAATAAAAAAGCTGTGCTGCGTTAGAGTAGACATCTTCAAAATGAAAAGTTAGCACCTTTTAACTTAAGTGTTTTTTATATATTTTTCAGTTGTAATGTGTTCAGTTGTATACCTACTTTCAGGTAATTTTAAAGCCAAAGGGGACTTCAGAGACTCTCTAGTCCGATCTAGTTGTTATACAATTGATATGAGGAGACTGGGCCCTAGATAGGCCCCTAAGCTTGCATCGCCAGTCAGTGAGGAGTGTAGAATGTTCAGTTCCTGATCTCCAGGGAGGTGGGCCGTGACTGTACCATGGTGCTTCATCTGTTACTCTTAAAGGCAGAATGATGGCCAAACGTGGTGTGGTCTGTGGATCCAACCAATGTTAATATCCATTAAGGTTAATCATCAACTGACATTCAGAATGATCCTATATTTTCATTCTTTCATATGTATGTGAAAATTAACACTAAAATTTCATGTTGGTGTAATTTTCTACACTGTCATAGACTTAAATTTACTATAGTACCACCCTCTTTATTTGGTGGTCATACTTTTGACCACCCCAATCATCCATTTCATGTTTATGACTATCACTTTAGTATGTGATCTTAATGTACCTATTTATCTGGTTTTCCAGCCTACTGTACTACAAAAACTGTGTGCAACAGAAAATGTATCTGTGCTTTGTGGCGTGTTAATAGGTGTTACAGGCAAGAAAAAGTTCCTTTACCGTATGAGGGTGTGAATTATGTACAGACAAGTTATGTTACTTCAGAACTCCTTAGAGCCTTTACGTTCTGCTAACATGCACTGTGAACCTCCAAAGAGACAATATAATATGTGGCTTCTTGAGTACAGAAATCCTTCCTCATTGAGCATCTATAAGTAACACTCTTTGGCTAACAGTGACATAGGCTATTGATTGGATAATTGTAGTGATTATCAGAATAGTAGTGTAGCTTTTGTTATCTTATAAATACCTTGTTACTTAATTCAGGCAAGGTAGAACACAAAACTATGTCAGAGAAAATTCAGAAAATGTAATTTTCCTTAAATGTGTTTAAGGATTTTCATGCAAAAGACTTTCTAAAGCATATTTTATCTCCTTTTTAAAATTCAGAACTTGAAGAAGTAAAAACTTCAGCCTTGGACAAAAACACTAGCAGAACTATTTGTAAGTATTACTGTATTATCTTTCTCCATATTAGGGGTGAGGAAATGGTTGATTGTGTATGAACATGATTGCATGAAGCTTGGAGGCTTTGTGGTTTCCAGTTTGTCAAATGATGACACCACGCTGTTTATTTCACTGTTGTTTTATAGGTTGCTATACATCACAGGTCAAATGGAACTATTAGAACATTGAATATTTTGAGAAGTAAAATTCATACTTATTTTATAACAAGTTAGCTAAAAAATATTTATGAGCAAGAATTTATATCCTGTCTTTTCGAGTGGTTATAATTACAGTATGAACATGAAATATGTGTAAAGTCTTTAAATATGAGCAGAGGGTCAGAAAATCTGACTTGTTGCCTGGACCTAACCCTTAGCGAATTTCATCCAGGTGAAAGTGCAAGCTCAAAGATATGTTACTTTTTAAATTTTTAAATTTTTTTGGCAGCTGGCTGGCACAGGGATCTGAACCCTTGACCTTGGTGTTATCAACACCTTGCTCTAACCAACTGAGCTAACAGGCCAGCCCAAAGACATGTTATTTAAACTTACAGAGAAGAAACTTAAAGTAGATTTTTACTTTTTGGTATTGGTTTTGTTTAGATACTATAACAGGCTTCATTTTCCCTTTTCTGACATGAACATATCATTGAGTCTTAAGCTTCCTGAGAGTGCTAATAGTCTTTTAAAGGGTAGTAGATTGTCTTCATCGAAGTAGACTTAAAAATTGGGATGGGTTGGGAGTTTCAAGTATACAAAAGTTCAGAATATGCTTTTAGGAACCCCGATGTGCCCATCACCCAACTTTCGTAATGATCAACATTTTGCCAGTGTTCTTCCACTGATTCCCTCCCCCTTTTTTTGCTTGGTTAGGGGTGGGGTAGAGTATTTTAAAACACATCCCAGGCATCATATCATTTCACCAATAAATATTTGTGTGGATCTCTTTTTAAAAAGCCTTTTAAAAAATGCAAAAACCAAAAAACCACAATCATTAAACACCTATTCACTTTGATATATCACATAAAAAAAATTAACAGCAATTCCATAAAAGCTTCTAATAGCTAGTCCATGTTCAAATTAACCTGATTGTCTCTAAAATATCTTTTTATAGTTTCTTCCCCCTGAATCAGGATCCAAATGAAGCCTACACACACTGCGTGTGGTTGATATGTATTGTATATTAATCAGAAACCACCTCCTCCTTTTCTTAGTATCATTTATTTATTGAAGAAATTGTGTCATTTGTTCCATAGACTTTCCCATATTCTGCATCCTCCCGGTGTCATTTAGCAGGTTTTTCTCTCTCCTATAAGCTGGTTGTTAGATTTCACACTTGATTACATTCAGGACCAACTCTTTCCACAAGCTTAGTTCATAGGTGGTCCCATGTGCTTCCTATTTTATCTTTTCATTACCACAGGATGCACAAAGTATCTGGAGGTCCCAAAGTAGACCTTTTTTGAAGGTAACATGATATACTGTCTACTTGATAAAATACTTCATTAGGACTTATCTCTGAGAAGAAAGGAAAAATATTTTTTTAAAATGTGCCTGCTCCCAAAGTTTACTTTTAAAATTCTGGTGATTTTTATCCATTTCTTTCATGCTAGTAGGATATTATGTCTCTCAAAGAGCAGTATTGCATGTTCTTGGCCTCTTTCTGTCTATCTCCTCCTTGCTCCCTCCCCTTCTCTGCGTTCCTGCTTATCAGTCCATTCAACATTTGTTGAGAGTCTGTGATGTGCCAGGTGGTATAACTGAAGCAGAGGATTAAACTATGAGCAAACAGACCCTGCCCTCAAGGGCTTGTAATATACCGGGATAGATGGACAGGCAATAGGCAGTGACAACATAGCATGGCAAGCTATGATAAGGCAAGCACGGGGGACTATGGGAACCCCAAAGAGGGCACATAACCTCCTCTGAGGTAGTGAGGGACAGCTTCTTGAGGAAAGTGACATCTCATCTGAGACCTGAAGGGTGACCAGGTGGTGGCAGGTGAAGTGTCAGAGTGAGGAGATGGGAACAGTCCATTGGCAAGCCTGGAAATTGAAGATGAGCTGGGTGCATGTGAGGTAGCCTCTGCTCTGCTTGGATAGCACTGCCAACATGCCTTGGGTTCTTTTTTACCTGACTCCTCGTAGGACTGAACAGCCCTCCCGTGGCACACAGTCATTCTTGAGGAATGTCATGGCTTCATTCAGACTTCAGCCCAGTCTAGCTGCCCTAGAAGCCATTTGGTCTTTTGCATTAATCTGTTGATTTATTGTTTGTTGATTTGCAGTTTGAATTTTAGAAAGCAATCTTATTCCCTTATTTGCATGTTTTTGAAAGCTATAACTACTATCATTTGTCCTGACCTATCCCCAGAACTCCAAATTTGTGAGTCAATTGGACATCTCCATGTGGATGTGTACTAGGTACTCCAAATTTAACTTGAGCAAAACTAAACTATTATTTCTCATTTCCTCGAACTTATTTATTTTTATCCCTGTAAAGGTATCATTTTTCAAGTAAGTTCTTAAGCCAAAATTTGATTCCTCTTTTTCTTTCTACCTTAGTTAGATCCATTAGCAAGGCCTGTTAACCAAATCCACCTACTTCTCATCTTCACTGGACACTCTTGTCCAAGCCACTGCTGTCTCTTCCTTGGACTGCTCTAGTAACCTTCTAACTCATTCCCTGCTTCTGCTCTTGCTCCCCTCCACAGCATTCTTCATACAGCATGCAGTCATTGATTTTTTTTAAGTGAACTATGTATGTCATTCCTTTATTTGAAACCTTGCAATGATTTCCCATCTCATTTAAGATAAACCATAAATTCCTCAGGTGTTATTCAGTAGAATTATGATATGAGCACCCATCATCAAAACTTACGTGAATCTCCAGTAACACCAGTTCTGCTTCTGTTTGTGTATCTTCCACTGTGCTCACTGGTATCATGTGTATCTTTGTTTCTGTGCGTCTTTTCAGTTTGCCTCTATGTATGTGCATATGTGTGTGTGTGTGTGTGTGTGTGAGAGAGAGAGAGAAAGAGAGAGAGATTGGGTTATGTTTCCTATTGCTGAGGATTTCTTTCTGTTTCTTTTGTAAATAATATAAAGCTGAATATTATTTTATTTAATGAACAGAGTCTTTAAAAACAGATAAGCAGAATAGTTTTTATTATGCTCAAAAGAGAAAAAGATTAAATGTTTATTGTTTTTCTAAACTTGTTTGTGGTCCCTCTGTTGTTCCTTCCTTCTCCTGTGAGTGGCCTTGGCAACCAAAAGATGTCTGATCCCTGTAATCAGACATCACTGTTGAGGAAATATGAAGAATCTAAAGATCTGTGCTGTCCAGGATAGTAGCCACTAGCTACATGTAGCTTTTTAACTTTAAATTAATTAAAATGAAATAAAATTAAAACTTCATTTCCTCAGTTGTATTAGCAGTGTTTCAGTGCTTTATAGCCAGAGGTGACCCGTGGCTACTGTGTTGGACAGCACACTATAGAACATTTCCCTCACTGCAGAAAGTTCTGTTGGACAGCGCTGCTATAGTGTATTTTATGCCCTGATATATTGTATATATACCATTTGTGAGTGACTCTTATACTCATTAGGCAAAAGTTCTATTTAAAACCTTTTTTTAGGGCCGGCCCGGTGGCACACTGGAGAGTGCGCCGCTTGGGAGCGTGGCAGCGCTCCCGCCGAGGGTTCGGATCCCATGTGGAGACCGGTTCCCACTCACTGGTTGAGCGCGGTGCGGGCGCAACACTGAGGGTTGCGATCCTGTTGCCGGTCAGTAAAAAAAAGACAAAAAAGGAAAAAATAAATAAATAAATAAAACCTTTTTAAAAAATTACCACAAACACATGAAAAAAATTGTGTGAACTTACGCCAATGTACTACTGGTAACTGATCTTATCAAAGAATGGGCACATGAAATGGAAATCTTTTTACATTTTTTACATATATTGGGTCACAAAGCCATTGGTCATATTTGTTTTAAAAGCTTAATATGCTTTTCATTTTTATTTCAGATGATCCTGTACATGCAGCTCCAACCACTTCTACGCGTGTGTTTTATATCAGTGTAGGGGTTTGTTGTGCAGTAATATTTCTTGTAGCAATAATATTAGCTGTTTTGCACCTTCATAGTATGAAAAGGATTGAACTGGATGACAGGTATTGTACATATTTTGGGAAGGAAAAAAATAAAAGCACTTATTTGCATATGCATGAGAGCCCCCCCATGCATACTGGTGCAGGAGGATGGAAGGAGGGAGGATGATTGAGCCCTAGCCAAAGGAAAAATAAGATGTCTTAGTCACTGCCTTTGTGTTTCTCTGATTTTTATTTTTATTTTTATTTTTTAAATTTGTAAAGTTAGGAATTACACTTTATTAGTTATTGGGGAAGAAGTAGAGATCATTTTTTCATCCTCTTTGACATGACTCCACTCCAGACTCCTATTATCTTTTTAAAATAGCCCTGTTTCTTCCTTCTAGTTCCTCCCTCCTTTATTCTGTCTGTCCATCCATCCATCTATCCATCCATCCACCCAGTAAATATTTATTGAGCACCTGCTGTGATTTAAACCATTGGTTCTCAACCTGGTTACACATTAGAGTCACAGGGAAGCTTTTACAGCGTACCAGTACTTGGATCCCACCTTCCAGAGATTCTGATATAATTAGTCTGGGATCTTGTCTGGGCATCAGTATCTTTTTTATTTTTATTTTTATTTTATTTATTTATTTATTTTTTGTCCTTTTTGTGAGCGGCCGCACCGCGCTCAGCCAGTGAGCGCACCGGCCATCCCTATATAGGATCCGAACCCGCAGCGGGAGCGCTGCTGCACTCCCAGCGCTGCTGCACTCCCAGCGCTGCACTCTCCCGAGTGTGCCACGGGCTCGGCCCTCTTTTTTTCCTTTTTTTTTTTGTCTTTTTTCGTGACCGGCAATGGGATCGCAACCCTCAGTGTCGCGCCTGCACCGAGCTCAACCAGTGAGCTGACCGGTCTCTATATGGGATCCGAACCCTCAGCGGGAGTGCCACCGCACTCCCAAGTGCCGCACTCTACCAAGTGCGCCACCGGGCCAGCCCACGGCCCTCTTTTTTAAAGCTTCCTGGGTGATTCTAATGTACAGCTAGTTTGAGATACACTGAGTTAGATATTACGCTAAGTGCTGAGAAGACAAAACAGGAAGATTTTGATAGGACTTTCAGAGAGAATACAAGTAGAGTTAGAGGGGTCACTGAAGAGCATGATATTTAGAAGTCAGTATTGACTACAACAAAAAAAACCTCATAAAAAACAAAAAAAGGAAGTCAGTGTTGATATACACAGAGAGTTGCATTTTCTTTGGGCCTTCATAGACTGGAGTTATGCAAGAACTTTTAGGCATATACCTCTGACTGCTGGAATAGTTACTAGCCATGAATTGATATTCTAGGTTTCTCTAGTTTTCAGGCTTTCTCTAGGTTTCTCTAGTTCTCAGGTTTCCAGACATTGCCTGAGTAAAAGCAACTTGATATTATCACTCATTTTCAGAGCATAGCCTAATAGTTAAAAGAGTGTGGACCCTGGAGCCAGACCATCTGTGTTGAAGTCTGGCTGTTCTACTTACTAGCTTTATGTCCTAGATAAAGTAAGTTATGCGGCCTCTCTGTGACTCCCTTTTCATCGTCTATAAATAAGAGTAGATATGGTGTGAGGTTTCAGTGAGATAATACTATAAGCTCTTAGAGCAGAGCCCTGCATATAGTAAGTTTGATTATTATGGTTTTTTTTTTTTTTTAGAAAGTTGCAATGTGCTAGTAATTATGGACAAATTTCTTGTTTAGCTCTTTCCTATCCTACTTGTGGTTATTTATCAATGCTAGGCAAGCTAATGGTGGTGACTGGAAAGTTGCCATCCAGCAATTTAATAGCATTTAAGGGACATCTGCTTCTTCTCTCTCTGCATAGGGGCCACAGAGACAACACTGTTACCATTCTGTTGAGTGTTTTCTGTTTGCCAGTACTGTATCAAGCCCTTTACATGTATTATCTTAATGCTCACAGCCACCTATGGGCATATTTACTCCTTGTCTTAAAGGTGAAAAACAGACTTGAAGAGATGAAATATCTTTTCCAGGATTGCACTGTTAGGACCAGGCAGAGCAGGAGGGACTCATCATTGCAGTAGCTGTAATAACACAGTATTGTTTGAAGCATTTCCCGTGTGCTTTACATTCATTAACTCCATTAATCCTCACAATAACCCTGTGAGGTTTGATGGAACCTGTAGCTTCATGGAATTCTTTGGATAGGGATGGTGGAGTGTTCTTCCATTCCAGGCACTCGGGAGCCAGAGTCCTGTTATAAACAGAGCTTCTTTAGAAGCAGAGAATAAAACTGCCTGAGATGTGCTTATGTCAAGGGCAGTTGGGGCCCATGTATGTGGCTTTCCCTGTTTCAAGGTTGCAGATTGATCTTTTCAGTCTCTTTGTTATGCCAGATGAGTCTATCCTGGAGAGGCAGAGCTTCCGTCCACATTCACCCTAAAGTCCTTCCACAAAGGGGTTGGTCTGCAGCATGTCCACACTGTAGTCTCTCTCTATTAGTTTGTGATTGTGGGAAAGTTCATTTCTCTTTTGTGGAATGCTTGAACTTGTTATTTGGCAGTATTTTCATTTTCCTCTTCTAGTTCCTGTTATCTCCACTACCCCACAATTCTTGCCATTACTGGTGACAAGATCCCTCTTTATTTCTCTTTGTTTCTATATCCAATGCCTAACAGAGTATCTGACACTCTGAGTAAGATACTGAATTCTATTCATTCTCCAGCTGAATGGAGAATGAATAGAAGGAGAAAAAAAACGTTTTATTATACCACAAATTCTTTGCCTTTTTCAGTATATGTCAACAGCTCATGTCTGAAGCAGCCATTCTATCTGGTTTATTTCTATTCCAGGGAAGTGTGGTTTTTCTCTATTCATTGATTGACTCAGTGTTTATTGAGGGCTGGCTGGGGCTCACTCGGGCCCACCTGGGGCTTATTGCGCCAAGCACTGGCTAATGTGCTGGGGAGGGAGGAGTGAACAGGCACTTTTCCTGTCCTCATGGAGCTTATAGTCTGCTTGGGTGAGACAGACGTTAAACAAGAAATCCCTGCTGGAACGTAGGCTGGCTTCCTGAGGGTAGGAATCTGTTGTGTTCACTGCTACATCCCCAGCACCCAGCACAGGACCTGGACTGTTGTAGACACTTAATAAATATTTGTTGAATAAATAAATAACATAGGAAAAGTACAAATTGTTATATTTGTTTTGAAGGAAAGTTATGATCTTTGCCCAAAGTCCTAACTTCATTTCAAAGCAGGGTTAGTATTTCTATAACTAATCTTACTTGCTTATGAAAATCAAACAAGATAATTTATTTAGACTAGTTTTAAACTGTTAAGTGGTAGCAAATATACATTTTAATCTCATTTTCCACATCCTGTGATGTAGCTATGTAGGTGTTGACTTTAGTGTCAGGGGTAGGTCCCCAACTGCTCCTTGCTTCTCTCATAACAGTTTTTTGGTTCCAAAGAAAGTTTGTTCTGATCACTTAGATAGTGCTTTGCTTATTGTAGGGATCCACTTAATGTCTGTTGAATGAATGAAAAATTGACATAGATGTACCCGTAACACCTTTGAAAAGACCTGTGCAGGCTTTTCAGAAATTCTGAGGTGGTACAAGACTGCCACCTACTGTTCAGTTAATGGAGAGAAGTAGGGTCTATGCATTTATTCAGCCATCAGTGATGATGGTTGTAGGTAATATTTAAGAAGTACTTTTACATATGTCATACAATTTGATCCTCACAAAAATCCTATGAGGTAGGTTTTCTTAATCCCATTTTATGGGTAAGTAAACTGAAGTCCTTTATTTCCTCCCTCTTTGAGGATGGCCATGCTTCTATGCCCTCCCCATTATTGAATACTAGACTTCTAACAACTTTGGTTTCTAATCTGATCCTTGAGTAGTAGTTAGAACTGCAGAAACAGTTGTCCTATAGTTCCTTATCATTCTAAGGATTGGGGATGTATACTATTCGTGATAATAAAAATAATTAATAATAATTTATAAATGTGTTTGAGGGCCAGGCACTGTCCTAAATGCTTTACTTGTATATTTTCCTGTAATCCTTTTAGCAGTCTTGTCAGGGAGTAGTAGTATGCTCCTTCTATCTATGAGGAATTTGAGGCTCCAGCGGAGTAGTTTACCTTAGGTCATACAGCTAGTAGTTGGTGGTGCTGGCAGTTCTGATGTCAAGGTTTATGTGTTCCATCTCTTTACTGTACTGCCCCATAACCACTTCATGTATAAACCCATATAGATCAATTCTTGAATAACTTCCAGCCTAAAAAGCTATTACAGAATTCTGGCCAAGTGATAGCCTGATGAACCATTGTTATATTCTCTTTGAGTTGCAAAGTATCTTCAGCAAAGTTTCTGGGGAATCAGGGCTTACTGTGGTGCCACAGGAAGAAGTAGATAACCATAATGATCGGCATCTTAAAGGAAGGCATGCTGAGTGGCATTTTCATTAGGCAAATATGTATCTTCAGATGTGTGGTTGTGCTGAACTAAATGGCTTGCATATAATAAGTGCTCTATCTTAATTTTTACTGTGACTTTTCAGAAGTGTAATAGCAGATAATAGTAGATTGTATTATTAGAGATAAAAAGGCTGCATAGGGACTTACCATGCTCATTGCCTGGATTTTATATATTTAGCATTTTTTAGATATATGTTTGGGCTCTTGAAATTAATAAAATACAAATTGATCTGTAAGTGTTGCTGATTACATAGCATCCCTTTGTCGTTATGTATTTTTTAAATCACAGTTTTTGAAAATGAAGAACTGTCATGTGGGAAGTGGTCAGTTAAAAGATTTTGCATGTTTAGGAAAGTTGGAGCCCCTGATTGGGCTCTGCTGATCCTGTAGCTAAGGGAGGCATGGAAGGACCGTCCTGCAATCTGGTTTCACACTTCATGCTGAATTTCTATGCTTCACATCTCCCCTGCTACAAAATTAACAAGGGCTGAGGCAGTGAGACTGGAACGTGCCCAGGGGTGACCTGGGACAGGGTTGCTACCCACTGAAAAGACAAAAGTACATGTTTGAGAAGCATTAGTTTGTAATAATCTTGAATACAGGGTTAGCAATTATTTGAGCCTACCATGTTCTGGGTCTCCTGTATTGTTTAGAGAATATGGTATAACATAATGCTTCGAGTACAAGAGATTTCTGAGAAGTTTGATAAATTCTAAAAAGGTGGGATTGTGGAAGTACAAGCAGCAAAATGTATGTAATTAAATAAACTTGAACTAGATATGATACTCCTTCCCAAGCTTTGAGCATGTTGGCACATTTGATTTGGTTTGATATTCCCTCATCTGTAGGCTATTTGATTTTGGACCATCATTAAAAGAGGCCTTTCTGCTCCTTTTCTAAAAAGCTGTCTAGTTGAATGGCACGAGCTCTTTTCTTGAGAAATGATCCATAGTTCCCTAACACAACACATCCTTATATGAGGTTGAAGACTGCTATCTGAGGTGTCCTAGTACCTACGTTTCTGAATAATTTTGATAAGATGAACTTGCTAGGTGATTTTAAGATAGGAATGAAGGAAAAAATAGAGCTGTACGTTCTGAAGCAGATTAAAATTTCAATATGGAACATTGTGATGGAGATCCATGCATTATTGTGATCTCCATCAGTATTTTAGGCTGGTTATAGTGGTGACATGCATTTTGTATGTATGGAAAAAGGAAATTTCTCATTGAACCTGACTTGTCAAATATTTCTCTGTTAATCGTTTTTAGCATCAGTGCCAGCAGTAGTTCCCAAGGGCTTTCGCAGCCATCCACCCAGACAACTCAGTATCTGAGAGCTGACACACCCAACAATGCAACTCCTATCACCAGTAAGAGTTAATTTAATTCTAAAGCCAATTTGTCTATATCTGTTTGTCAGTAGTCCTCTCTGGTTAGTGTACTTGTGGGATGTGTGTTCCATGTTGTGTCCATAGTATCTAACATGCACAAAATCAGGCACAATCTTCAGCTTTTGCTTTTTAGTGCATTAAAGGAAACATTTTAAAATTGGGGTATTGAAAACAAAATGTAAGTTTAATTGCTGGAATTGGTTTTGCTTTGGTGAGATTTCTGTAGGTTAATTATATTAAAAGAGCTACTAAAATCACTTTTATAGAAAATCGCAATGAAGATTTTCAGGTAGTTATGTGGAATAAGCCACTGAGCTGCATAAAGACAGAGACTTTGGATTTTAATGAACTGTCTGATAGTCTTATGGGCCATGGTAAAGGCTTTACATTGTTTTCTTATTATATGAAGCTAGCTACTATTGGGGAGTTGAGAGCATGGTATCAGATTTCCATTTTTTGAATAGGATTTTTTTTTTTTCCTCCTTTTTCTTTGTCTTTTTCCGTGTCCGGCAACGGATCACAACCCTCAGTGTTGCCCCCGTACCAGACCGGGACTGGCAACGGGATCGCAACCCTCGGTGCTGCCCCCGCGCCTTGCTCAGCCAGTGAGCGGGAACCGGTCTGTATGTGGGATCCGAACCCTCGGCGGGAGTGCCACCACGCTCTCAAGCGGCGCACTATAGCAGTGCGCCACCGGGCCGGCCCTGAATAGGATTTTGGTGAAAGTTTTCACACACTTTAACATGTAGATGTCTTGAAGAAAATAATCAGTCTTTTTCAATAATTATTAATCGACAAGTTATAATTATATATATTATGAGGTAAAATGTGACGTATATATATATACAATGTGGAATAAAATAATCATTCTTAGAATGTAATTTAGCTAAAATGAGGAATCAATTACCACACAAATAAGAAACAGCATAATCATCAGGATAAAGAGTAGGTCAGAGAACACAAGTCAGGGCTCATCTCAGTGGTGCCATTGATTAATTAGATCTTGTAGGCGATTAAATATTATCTTCCTTAGGCTGCCACTTACTCTTTAGTAATGCCCCTCTATCCAATGCCCTATTGTGGTCTTTCAATACTGTTTCCCATTTGACAGAGCCAGGATTCTTTGGAAAAATGGCTAAGGTCTAGGTCAGGAAATGAACAAAATGAACCTGGGTAATGTTGCTGAGCCAGACATCAAGGAAGCTGCTAAAAACTTGAAGAGTCCCACTGGCCTAAGATGGGACCATTTGAACATCAAAGGAAAAATGACTACAGTGGGTGGAAGCATAAAATGTATAAAAATCCACAAATTTGTATTGATACTTAAAAAAATTATTCATTATGAGGGTAACTAAGTCTCCAGTAATATCTTACTTTGACAACTGGCTGCATAAACTATATGTATTTCAGGGTAACTAGATAGTGCTGGTTGATGAGGGAAAATGTTTCTTTGCAGAGATTCCTGGCTAATAAACGTGGAAAGGATGATAGAATTAGAAAATCATATTTGTAATCCCTAATAACATATTTGACTCAGGAAAAGATTATCAGTGATCAAAACTCTAAGAACAAAGGGAAATGGGGAACTTTAGCATTGAGGGATCAGGTTTTCAACACCTGAATCCACTGATGGAACTTAGCATTAATAGAAGTGGGGCAACTAGATATGTGTACCCCAGGATGTGATATACGGTTCATGGAGTATTCTTATCTCCCCCTACCCCAACCCCCAAAAGTTAACCTGGATCTAATCAAGGTTGTAGAACTGACGTAGTTTACAGAAAATACAGGAGGAGAGGAACAAGTTAAATGATACTTGAAGAAGCAGACACTGGGCATTGTCCAGGATAACTGATCCAATTTCTTCAATAAGATGGTGGCAAGAAAAAGGAGGGGAGGAGGAGGTATTCTAGATTAAAAGAGTTTTAAGAGAAATCATAACAGCAGCTATTATCACCACTAACAAAAGAAAGAAATATATGCTCTTCAGGAAATACAATGATAGATGTGAAAGTAGTTGAAACTATTCAGAAAGGCACAGCATGGTTTTTAAGGTTTAGATGTCAAGCTTTGCTTATTGGAGTTGATTCTTAATTGTGGATATGACCTTAAACAGGTAGATAATTCAATTATTATAAATGCTAAAACTCCTGTTGTAAAGAAGTCAGTGGAAGTACATTTATTTATTTTTTTAAAATTTCAGTTGCTATCACTAAGAAATTAACCTGTTTTTAATTGTGGACATTACCTGAAGGAGTTAGATAATTCATTTATTATATATGCTAAAAACAAAATACTTTTTTTCAAAAGGTCAATAGAAATACATTTGTTTATAAATAAAAAAAGAAAAAGAAAGGGGCAGAAAAAATATTTGAAGACATAATGGCCAAGAATTTTCCAAGATACCAGAACACAACAGACTACAGATGCAAGAAGTTAAGAAAACTCCAGGCAGGGCTAAGCATACACAAACACATATACTCACACACCTAGATATGTCACAAACTGCTGATCAGTGGTTTCAGGTGTTGTCAGCCTATATCCATTAAGTTCTCCAAAGCCCTTCATGTAGTTCTTTTGGCAGCTATTTATGATCATCACCTAGATCCACTAATTCTTTAGATGGTTTTCTTTCCAATATCTTCCAAAGCTAATGAATCATTAGAGATGTCATTCCAATTTCCACTTGCTAGCACTGGATCTTTCTTTTATTCTAATATTTTTTTCTTGGAGGGAAAACTGTAATTTATGTCTATAGATTTTATTTTTGCTGTCATTGTATTAAGAATGAATGGGAATTAAGGAAGCTTAACAAATTTGAATCTCACAGTAGGAATACCAGAACAGTTAGAATGGTCATGTAGTTTTTTAAGAAAAGGTGTTTTTTTTCAAACGTCTCTTTATTTGAAAAGTTCTTTTGTTATGAGACTACATTAGGAATTCTTTTGGGAGAAGAACTATTCATAAGAGGAATTAAGTTCGTGAGTCAAACCTTGTTTCATTTGGCTGCAAGGCAATTGAAGTGGTGGTAATGGTAATGTTATTTTTAGGGTTCTTATTTTGATTCTGTAATCTAACATTTTGGGGTATTATTGTGGTAGGTGGGGAAGCATTTCTTTAAAGTTTAATGTGACCTTCATAATTAACTCTTCCAGTTCATGTATATGCTCTCCCAGTTCGTGTAAATCTTTTATGATTCACATATTCATTCATTTCTGTGACTTGAGTCCTGAGGTTCTAACTGAACTTGCTGACTCTAATACCGTAATAACGGTATTTATATTGCTTGGTTTGGCTTTGTTGGCTCCTCAGGTTATCCTACCTTGCGGATAGAGAAGAATGACTTGAGAAGTGTCACACTTTTGGAGGCCAAAGCCAAGGTGAAGGATATAGCAATATCCAGGGAGAGGATAACTCTAAAAGATGTACTGCAAGAAGGTATTTATTATCTCAAAATCAGTTTTTCAAGTAAGATTTAATGTTACCACTATAAACTCTTTTGTTTCAAATAATTTTTAAAACTTTATCTAATTTTGTGTCTAAATCACTGCATGGTTGATTTCTTTTAAAAAAATGATTTTTTATTTTCCTTTTTTTTAGACTTTAAAGTGCCTTATACAGCTATGTCTTGATTATACACATAATTAAGAATTATGCAATTCTTAATTTTCAAGTATATTAAAGCATATATATTAGTGTTTATTACCTTTAAAGGTATATTTTCTGTTTTGTTCTTATTTAGAATGATCACTACCTAGCAGGTCTCTGAAATATTCTAAGTCATTTTCACTCTGACATAATAGTGTTAAGGGTTCTCATGGGAAGAATGTGCTTTGGGATGGGCTTTGGAATTAGACCCAAGTTCTCATCCCATGATTTATTACAATACTATGTGACCTTGGAGAGGTTACATGTTTTAATTAACATTTTAAAAATGTGTGTTGCTTTCCAGTTTCCTCTTCTGTGAATTTGGACTGCATTGTCAGCTCTTAGACTATGAAGATTAGATTAAATGATGTACATTAAATGAACTAACACAATATTATGTGGTAGATATTAGTACCTGTCCTTTCCCCTCTTGCTAGTCTTTGCTTTCTTTTTTGAGTTTTTATATTGATTGGGAAGATGCTGAAAGAGGAGGACAGAAATTAATAATAAAATACTGCATTGAGCTCTTCAAGTTGTTAAACAGAGAGTTACCTTTTTACCTCTGCCATAATTCAGTTTGGAATGTTTTGATTCATATGAATCCTCCTGTATTCATTTGTTGGTTAGGATGCTTGTAGGTCAATCACAGCTAAGTGAAGGACTTAAACTGCCCCCAATAGCAAGTGGTAATTAATGGAAGCAGATTTTTTTTGTGTCTGTGTTGTATGATAAGAATGCCATTTGTTATGGTTGTCTGTTTTCTAAGCATAACTAGTTTTCAGATCTGTTTACAGTCTGAAGAGAGTAAGTAGATCAGGTAGCATTTCCTAAAGAATCAAAGGAATCAGAGACCAATGACTAAAGTTATATTTACAGTTTCTTTTGGTCTTTAAATGGAATAGAATAAGTAGCCTATTGTGATGGTATAATCTGAAGAAAAAAAAAATTCTGAACCTGTTAGAGTTTTCTTTGATCTTTTCAGGCTTATGGTAGTTTATTTTTAAATTCTGTTGATTTCAGAAAGAAAATATGGTAGCTAATTAACATTTTTAAAAAGTGGTCCTGTTCACTGGAAATCTGATAAATGTGAATCAAATAATAGTTACATGCCATTTTTCATTTATCAGATTGGGAAAAATTAAAAAGATAGGTAATATTTAGGCTGACAGGGATGTAAGCTCTCTTACACAATGCTGGTAGGAATCTGAGTTGCTATAACTTGTGGTAAAGTAATATTTGTACATATGTACTTTTGTGTACACATCCATAATAGTTTTGTTTTCAAGTATGTGTAAATCCATGGTTGGGGGTAATATTTAAAAATGGGACTAGGTACTGGGAGGAGGAGACAAAGTAGGAGTTTTTGCAGTGCTTCTGTGGGAGAGAGTGAAGAAGCTCAAGCAAGCAAGGTAAACTTGAATGGGGATAGAAGGGAAGACCTTTGTAGCTCTGACTGTGTATTGACTGGCGTGTTTGAAGATATTTACGCAGTTCTAAGCAAAGTGCCTTAAATAAAGGTTATCCAAAGCTTTTTCTGCCTTGAGCATCCAAGTTACTCTGTATCTCTGGGCCACAGTGAGACTTGATAGATGGGTACCAACAACTCCATCCAGCTCACAGACTGAAAGACATTAGAGCAAGCCTCTTTGTATGCAAGGTATCTGCAGCAACACGAAACTATTTGCAGGCGTATCTTAAATTGTGAAGGAAGGAAAGTAAAATTTTCCAGTGAGAAAGAGTAAAATGACATTAGTTTTCTTTTTTTTTCCTTTTTTGTCTTTTTTCGTGTCCGGCAACGGATTGCAACCCTCAGTGTCGCGCCCGTACCGGACCGGACCAGCAACGGGATCGCAACCCTCAGTGTTGCGCCCGCACCTCGCTCAGCCAGTGAACGGGAACCTGTCTGTATGTGGGATCCGAACCCTCGGTGGGAGCGCCACCGCGCTCCCAAGCAGCGCACTGTAGCAGTGCGCCACTGGGCCGGCTCCAAAATGACATTAGTTTTCAATGATCATATCCATTAGGGAAGTTTTTATCAGCAGTTGCAGAGTTACTAATAAAATCTGAATGGATTTTCATAGTTCATTTTTAACTAGTCCTTTTCCCCCACAAGTGTCATAACTTCTCTTACTGTAAGAGTTTTTAGGGACATTATTTACCAATGACCTGAGAGGCTAAGCGGCTTGTCTGAGGTCTAAATAATGAGTGATAGAAGGATCGGAATCCAGGACTATCTGAATCCAAGACTTACATCCCTTGGCTTTCCCTTGAAGCTACTTTTTTAAGCTCTGCAGCAGCAGGGAGGAGGGTCCATTTTCTCCTTTGTCATTGCTCTGAGGGCTATGTCTAGAAATTCGTAAATGCCTCTTTGGATACCCCATTACTAAGCTACAGTACTTTTTTTAAGCTCTGCAGCAGCAGGGAGGAGGGTCCATTTTCTCCTTTGTCATTGCTCTGAGGCTATGTCTAGAAATTCGTAAATGCCTCTTTGGATACCCCATTACTAAGCTACAGTACGCCTGGCTATATTATTAGTTTATTTAGGATAATTCAGAAATAATTCTCATATACTTAGTTTAGATAGTACTCCTGGCTATATTATTAGTTTATTTAGGATAATTCAGAAATAATTCTCATATACTTAGTTTAGATACGGTGTTTCTAAAAGCAAGTTAAGACATTTTGTGGTTACAAAGAACTTCTAACAGATATTAAAAACCAAAGATTTTGACCAAGTCTTTTTACTCTAGGGCTAGAGTAATGTTGTTGATCACATATGCCCTTGTTATGTTTGTCTCAAGTTATATTGTGTCAGAAAGTTTTGTACTATAATTTTATGAAGGTTATCATATAATCTCATTAATTATTTTTCCTTTTAGGTACTTTTGGGCGTATTTTTCATGGGATTTTAGTAGATGAAAAAGATCCAAATAAAGAAAAACAAGCATTTGTGAAAACAGTTAAAGGTAGGAATTTTTTTCTGTGCTATTTCCATAATTCTCTCCTGTGTAAAGTGGCTCATGCCAGCAAAAAGAGTCTCAATTCCTCAGTGTGTGATGGACCTTTAAATCAATCCATGTTAACTTAGCTCATATGATGCTAACTTTTTAGGAGATTTGGCTTGTTCTCATTAGGTATAGAAAATAGAAGTCTAATAAATTAAGGTGTTAGATATTTACCAGACATCTAGTTAAACTGCATCCACTTGAGTTCATTGTTGCTGTATCTAATGTTTTGTTTTTCCTAGGTTAAAATCCTTTGGTACCATCTCTTTGTCCCCCTTAGAAAACATTCTCGTTAGTTTTTCCTTCCCAATACTGAATATTAAAAAAAAATTAAAAAAAAATTTTTTTTTAATGATCCCAGTTGCTCAGTACCTGATGTGGATAGCTACTACTTACCTTTCACCAAACCCCCACCACTGCTTTTTTCTTTTATACGTAACGTTCCAGGAAAAATCCTTTGTGCGCGTGTGCATGTGTGCATTTCTTGATATATTTTTGTAGGTACAACCATAGCTGGAATTGCTGGGTGTGTACATTTAAAACTTTGATAGATATTGTCAGATTGTTCTCTGAAAAACGGCACTTATTTATATTTTCACGAACAGAATACCTGTTTTCACATATTCTTCTTTTGGGCCATCTTTTGAAATGTGACGCCCAATTTTTTTACTTACTGATTTATGTAAATTATCCAATTGAAGATTCTCTATCAAAATACTACAATATTTATATATGGCTTATTCTCTAATACTGGTAAATTAGTAAGACTTCTTAAAATATTAGAATTTTAATTACTTATAACTGATATTTGTAAAAGTTTAAATAATTCTTAGTTAAGTCTTTTACTTGCTCATTTTGGAAGTCAGAAAAATGTAATTTATAGGGTGCTTAATATCTGTCAGTATCTCTTATAGGTTGAGATGACAAGGTATAGTATCAGTGTCTGAAAAGCAAAGTTAGTACTTTGCAGAGATTGAGAGGAAGTTTGGTTTTATGAGTAGGCGGTGACAAAATTTTATGAGGTTTATGTGGTTAATTTATAAGAACTATATTTCTAAATTTACTTAGAAGACATTATGAAGGGCCATGTTTATTATTTCTAAATAATTGAATTATACCAATCTAACAAAAAAAATTTGGAATTTAATTGCTTTTAATTTAACAAAATTGCTGGTTTAAGGCCCACACACACACCCCTTTTATCTCTTGTAAACAAATGATTTAACTTACTATATTGTTCAGTATTTTATTTACTTACCCCTTCCCAGCCCCTAAAATACTTTTAAAGGTTAATATTTTAAGTTAGGTTCCAGTAGATTTTTTGAATAGTTTTGAATAGTTTTTGAATAGTTTTTCACATATTCTTTTTTGTAAATGTAAAATTTGAACCATAAGCTTAATAAAACAACTGACTTTTGTTACTCTTTCTCCATTTTTTAAGGAAACATTTCCCCTTAATTCCAATATTTCTTCTGGGGATTGTAAATGTTCTGTGGACTGTTTAGAACCAGGCTATCATTAATTTGTTCTGAATGAATTTTGAATTAACAAAAGAGGTTTCTGTACAGCATTTGGTTGATTTAGGGTTGGTGGAGGGGGTGTGTAGGAAATAGTAGTGATAAAACACAATGCAGATATTGGGACTGTTTCATGAGATAAGATTTCTCTTTCCGTATATACGTGAATTGTACTTGGTTGTTTGTTTCTGTGACTTACCACTGTAATTATAATGTTCTCTCTGAGCTGGACGGAAATAAGAGAAAGCACAGTGAGTCCTTAGCCAAGATATGGTCATGGTTTGCATGGGGGACAGAGAGGAAGTTGACTAGGGTACTTTATTCAAAATTGTTAGAGAACGCCACGTGATTATCTCTGAGATCTTTTCTTTTGGAATGTTATTTTTATTTTTTTAATTGAGGTTACACAGAGCTGACAAAGTTCTTGCACAAATCTGTATTCTTTGTTACACTCTACACAATTAGAAGTGCAATGTACAATGCAAAAAGTAAGTTTTTTAGAGAACAATGACCTTTGCCTTTAGGTATAAGCAGGAAATTGGATTTTGGCTTTTTAAAAAATTCATAATTTTGTGCAGAGACTTAATGAATATTCTAATATAAATTTCCAGAGATTGAAATTAGAAACCTGAATCTTACACAATGAATATTGTAAAATTGAATTCCAAAAAATAAATGAATCACTTTGGACTTATTGGTATTAAGTTTTTATTTTCTTTTATAAGTTGCTAAATTTGTGGAATTTTGGAAATAAGCAAATGTGTTTTTTTAAATCATGGCGTGCTTCCTTGTAATTTTTAGGAAGTAAATTATTTTATATACCTTTTTCAAATGTGTGCATATTGAAAATAGACCTTTCACTTTTTTGAAATTAAAAGACTAGGACTAGACTGGGAAAGAAATCCAGGAAAATGAGTTTTTTTAACTAAATGGATAATATTTTTTCCAGTTGAAAGTTTTCTTAGATTATCATCCAGTTTAAGGGTCCTTTCTTAATAGAATATGCTTATGAAATTTATGAACTTGGGGAAAAAAGATGTATAAAATGACACATCCCAAGATTACTTTTTTTTGTACTTGGGTCTCCTTACCACTTGAAGGGAAGGTAAACTCTTACAGAGTAGGTGGGGACCTCCAACTATTACTAGTTTTCCATCCTCAAAAGATCCTACCAGTCCCCAATAGTTCTGACCATAATTAGATTAGAAATTATGTAGGTTATAGAAAGTTATAAAGGCACATTCCGCCATTTACTAAATAATCCCAAATTTTAAGCAGTTTTTAGACAACTAGGGTTTACGCCAGCAGACACTGGTATGAAGCAACTTTTCCAAAGAAGTGCCAAGTGGTTCAAGTCTGCGGCTTTTTGTTCACCTATTGAGAAATTATCTGGAAAGGGAATAGTAATAGCAAGTAATGGGAGAGGGAGTGAGGCAAGGAGTGCGATTTCAATGGGTATGCTTGGGAGTAATTGAAATTTAAGATTTTTCAGCTTTGACAGCTCCACTTTTAAGAAGTGAATGTGACATAGTGAACTGGGCTTCATTATTGGTTCAACATTTTACTAGGTGGGGCTAGAATGTGGATCTTGGCTTTGCTGATCTTTTATATTTTTTTCTCCCTCTTATTGCATTGGTTAGAAGCTTTATAAATTATTGTTACTATTTTAACTGTTGACACAAAAATTAGTTATTGGGTTTTTTTTTTTAATTGACAAATAATAGTACGTGTTTATGGGGTACAGTGTGATATTTCAATTCATGTATACAATGTATAATGATCAAATCAGGGGAAATTAGCATATCTATCACCTAAAACATTTATCATTTCTTTGTGTTGGGAACGTTCAATATCCACTCTTCTAGTTATTTGAAATTATACAATAAATTATTGTTAACTATAGTTACCCTAAATTTCTGTAGGTAGCTGCACTTTTTGTCTCTTTTAATATGACGAGAAAATGGCATCTCCTAGTTTAATTTGCATTTCTTAGGAGTGAGGCTGAGAATCACTTTTTAATTTTGTTTGGCTATTTGTTCTTTCTTTACTAAGTAATTTATATGTTTATATCCTCTACCTCTTTCTCAGTTTTTTTCTGTGGATTTGTATGAGCTCTTTAAAGAGGGGGAAAAATCGAAATTAGCCCTTTATATGTCTATGTGTTGCAGATATTTTTCCAATCTTTTATTACTTTTTCTACTTTTTTGATGGATCTTTACTTAATTTCTAATTTTTGTGTAAAAACTTCTGTGAAAGTTGACATACTCAGTGAGACTATCTACTGCAATAGACCTTTATGCTAGGTCTTTTTAGATTTACCTGTAACTTATAATGAAAATTTACCTTATATTCCAAGATAATTATTTACTAATAGCAGAAAATATTAATGTCACATATATAATATTATCATTCAAGAGAATTTCTTTTCTTTATATAGATCAAGCTTCTGAAATTCAGGTGACGATGATGCTTACTGAAAGTTGTAAGCTGCGAGGTCTTCATCACAGGTGAGAGGAGAAATCACCAGCATTTCAGTGCTGAGCATGGCACCACTTTATGCTGCATTTTTATTTGAAGAACATTGGATTGAGTTCTGAACTGAAAGCTTTTTGGAATAGCTTAATTTTTTTTAATATAAAAATGAAATGCATGCTCATTGCATAAAATTTACAAACACAATGAAGTATAAAGAAGAAAATAAAAGAACAGTATGTAAGCCCACATCTGGATAATTATAACTAAGTTTTTCAGAAATAGTTTATACATATTTATATGCATATTTCCCCTTTAAAAAACAGGATGATAATATACATATGTTAAGGGTTATACAAGTATTGGAATATTTTAAAGCATTTTGAAATCCTTCCTTTGTACTCCTTTTTTCTACTGGAAGTTGTGAAAATAATTAATTTTCATTATAAGTTAAAATAGCTGTATAAATAAAAGGTATCAGTCTATTTTAATTATATCAAAGTGCTCATATCAAAGAACTCTTGAGCTATATCTGCTTGTAGTTTGACTTCTCCATTGGCCCAAGGATCCCTGGTGGTGGGGACTTTTTATGCTGAACACCTCACAGCTCTGTCTGCAAGAACACTCAGCAAGACTGAGAATTAGAGATAGTTCTTGTGTTGAGCCCACAGAGCCTACCCTTCCTCTCCACCTTCTTCTCTACAGCACCTCCTTCTACACACATCCACTCTTCTTAGAGATCCCAGACCTCCTTCTTTATCCTCCTTTTCTTTATAAAACTGGTAGAATGAAGAGCAGCCATTTGTACTTTGAAACATTTTCAAGTAGTTCATTACTTCTACTGAGGGTTATTAATCCTCTGGTAGTAGAACAAAAGATTCCAGCAAACTTATTGTGCTTAGATAAAATGCCTTTAACTCTGCTAAATGAATTTCAGTCACGAAGAAAGGAACAGAGAAATAAGCTTTGGGGGGTTAAAGATATTGGGCAACTCTTCATATTCACCCTGAAATCATGGTATGCCCAGGTTAATCCTGAATGTAAACCTGCAGTCATTTTAGCGTGCATGGAAGTTATTGGAAAGGAGACTCTGTAATCTCCCCTGTACATCTCCATGCTCCCTTGGGAGGGAATGTCTAATGATTCAGGGGAAATCAAAAGGGTTTTGGAATCAGATGAAGATCTGAATGTTTCTCTCCATGTACTTGCTGTTTGTCCTTGGCCAGATACCTAACCTTTCTCCCCTGACATGGGGGGTTTTTTTTTGCTTATAAAGTGAGATTAATAATCACTGCTACTCTGGCTGTAATGCAAGCAGAAGCCTTATAGAGAGGTTGCCTCTTATAGCTATACTTTCCTCATTTTTCCAACTCTTCAGGGTCAGTGCTTTCCTTGTTAGTAACTCCTGCAAACGCTGAGGGAAGCCCACAGCTTTGCCACTTGTGCAGTGGTGTCATGCCAGATTATAGCTGTGCTTTTTTTTTTTTTTTTTTTTTTTTTCCGTGTCCGGCAACGGATCGCAACCCTCAGTGTTGCCCCCGTACCGGACCGGGACTGGCAACGGGATCGCAGCCCTCGGTGTTGCCCCCGCGCCTCGCTCAGCCAGTGAGCGGGAACCGGTCTGTATGTGGGATCCGACCCCGCAGCGGGAGCGCCGCCGCGCTTCCCAAGCGGCGCACTATAGCAGTGCGCCACCGGGCCGGCCCTAGCTGTGCTTTTAAAAATAATACATGCTCAGTTGCGACAATTTTAATACAGAAAAGGGAGGTAGAAATTATCTATAGTCCCACAATGCAAAGACAACTCTTAACTCTTGGCATATTTCTATGCAG